TACCAGTCGGGGAAGGAGATCTTACCTGGGTCTCATCAGCAGGTGGGCTGGTTCCGGCAGCATGGGTCTGGGCACGGGTGGTCACTGGGTTCACATCTGCAGGGCCCATCGGAGCATAGGCTGAAACCAAAGGGGCCAAATCGTTTCCCAGAAGGACATCTGCGGGCAAGTCTTTCATCACCCCCACATCCACGTGTCTAGCGCCCACTCCCCAATCCAAATGTACCCGGGCAACAGGTAAGCGAAACACAGCACCCCCTGCTACCCTTACTGCCACAGTGTCCCCAGTGTGCTGATGCTCTGAAACCAAGTTCTTTTGGAGTAGTGTCATCGTGGCTCCTGTGTCTCTCAGCCCATTTACCACTCGGCCATTCAGCTTCACGATTTGCCGATGTTGCTGGCGATTATCCTGGTGAGCTGCTTGCACTGGGTCTGCCTCGTGTAAGATGCCCCAGCACTCCTCCTGTTCTATGCAGTGAGCAGCAGGCTGGGGCGGCCGCTGGTTCCCACTGGCTGGTCTCCTCCAGGACTGTGCTTGATTGGCATTGTTCAAGGGGCACTCGGGACGCTTGTGCCCCAACTGCTTGCACCCAAAGCACCGGATGGGTTGAGAATAATCCCGGGCATTACATCGGGCTGGCTGCACATAATTGTTAGCTGGCGGTGCGGCTGGGGTACGGTGTACTGGGGGTTGGTAGGCTGAAGGAGCGGGTATTACTGCTGGTCGATACTCCGGTCTGGCAGGGGCTTTAGCAGCTGTACCATCCAACTTGCGGGCATCCGTGTATTCGTCTGCCAGACGGGCAGCCTCGGGTAGGGTAGAGGGTTTTCTATCTCTGACCCACTCCCGGACCCCAGCAGGTAGTCTATCAAAACAGTGCTCCAGCAGGAACACTTGTAACACCTCTTCCCCAGTTACCGCTTGGCATCCTGCCATCCAGTGGGCTGCGGTACGATGAACTCTGCAGGCCCACTCCACATAAGAGTCCCCAACCAGCTTATTGGTTTCTCTAAACCTCCGCCTGTACGCTTCTGGGGTCACCGCATACCTGGCTAGGAGTGCATCCTTCACAGCCTGGTAGCTGGTGATCTCCTCCTCTGGGATGGCCCGAAACGCTTCACTAGCCTGGCCGGATAATTTCCCAGAGAGGATGGTGACCCATTCATCTGCGGGTACCTGGTGTAGAGCACACTGCCTCTCGAAGTCCGCCAGGAACCCATCAATCTCTCCCTCAGTTTCCACAAAATTTTTAAATGCAGCAAAGGGTACCTTCTTTCTTGCAAAAACATTATTATTGTATGGTACCTCTGCTGCTGCAGCTCCTCTTTCCCGGAGCGCCTGGTGTGCTGCTACTGCTGCCTGCACACGCTCCACGATGTCAGCTGAGGGGTTGGGGCCAAAATGTGCCAGCCTTATTTGCACTGCCCGGTTAAATTGTAATTCCTCGGGTGTTAAATCCAAGGTACTGGGCACATTGACTCTCTCTGTTCCCGGTGCTGCATCCATCTCCAGTAGCAAAGCAATAATCTCCCGTTTCTTTAAATTGCTTGCTGACCTTCCTCGGCGTTCCAATATGTCCTTAAGTGTAGCACGCCTTAATTCCTCGTACTGCATGTCTTGTAGCTGACCTCCAATGCTGTGGGATTCATCCCGTCGCTTGCCACCAATTGTTAAGACACCTCCAGTGTCTTTAGGCAAAACCGCCGTTTAGCAGACCTTCCCCGGCTGCAGTACAGTCTCCGTTCGCTTAATCTGTAATACCCGAACCAAATGCAGGGGAAGCGGCAATCTCCCAAACGAGATCCGTGAACGGCTCCAAACTCCCGAACGGCAATACACGAACTGCTGGTAACCGTCGAACAACAATATTCACCAAGCGGCTTCCGTTCCATCCAGCAGTCTCTAAATGTGAAGAAGAAATCCCCCCAATAACGAGACAGAAGCTCCGCATTGAGAGCCGAACACCGCTGGGCTTTCGCTTGGTTTAAAATTGCCGCTGCCTCGTGGTCGACATACGAACGACGACCACCCTGAATTCGGTTTAATTGAGAAGTGTCTGCGGTTAACCACAACGTTCTAATTGGGATCACTACGTTAACCAGCAGCACACTCCTCTCTTGGGTGGCCATTCGTTCGGCAGGTTTGTTCGGGAAAAAGAGTCATTCGAATGGCTGGGCTATAGAAACCAGCCATTCATACGAACGGGAAACAAACAGACGAATGCAAGCAGACAGATGGTTCTGTCACAGTGTATTATACATTTTTTATATAAACTGAATAAACAGTAATTAACACCACCCAATGTAGTGTACTCATTGTCTCATAGTAAGAGTATTCACAAAGGGATATAAATAGAGATGAGCGAACCCGGACTGTAAAGTTCGGGTTCGTACTTAACATTATGTTTTTTGGACCCCGGACCCCGGACCAAAACACGGACATATCACTGTATGTTCAGATTGGAGTTCGATGTTCGGTGATTTAATGACGCATTTGGAAAGGCTGCAGGGCAGCCAATCAACAAGTGTTTGACTCGTTTGCCCTTAGAAGCCATCACAGCCATACCTACTAATGGCATGGCTGTGATTGGCCAGTGCAGCATGTGACCCAGCCTCTATATAAGCTGGTTACTTAGTATTATTAAATTATGCCCCTACTCGCTATACTGTGAGTAGGGGCATGTCTATTAAACAGTGAGCAGCTTGTGGCTGCTCACTGTTAAAAAAAATAAAGAAATCCCTCCTCCTGAGGCCCCACCTGTGACCCGCGAGTGGGGGCTTTTAAACTAAAGGGGGGACCTATTGCCACCCCTAGCCCCCACCCCTGAGAGGCGGGTGGGGGCCCTAAATACCAATAAGGGGGGACCTATTGTCCTCCCCCTGGCCCCCTGGCCCCCACCCCTGCGCGGTGGGTGGGGGCCCTTAATAACAATAAGGGGGGGCCCTACTGTTCTAAGGTGGGGGCCATAATTAAAAATTAACAATAAGGTGGGGGCCATAACTAAAAATTGGGGGGCCTAATGTCCTCCCCCCCGGCCCCCACCCCTGAGCGGTGGGTGAGGGCCATAAATAAAAATTGGGGAGGACGACCTACTGTCCTTCCCCCGGCCCCCATCCTTGAGCGGCGGGTGGGGGCCATAAATAAAAATTTGGGGGGGACCTCTCGACCCCCACCCCTGAGCGGTTGGTGTGAGCCATAAATAAAAATTGGGGGGGGGGACGAAATAATGTCCTCCCCCCTGCCCCCACCCCTGAGCGGTGGCTGGGGGCCATAAATAAAAATATGGGGGGGACCTACTGTCCTCCCCCCGGCCCCCACCCACCTTTGGAATTTTCCCACGCTGTGTAATTTGACTCATAACACTCTGATTGGTTACTTAATCCACCAATCAGAGTGCTCTGTGTCATTTTACACAGCGTGAGAAAATTCCAAAGAACTTTCCCACGCTGTGCAAAATGACACAGAGCACTCTGGCTGGATTTCAAGCTAATGAATCAGAGTGCTCTGTGTCATTTTACACAGCGTGGGAAAATTCCAAAGAACTTTCCCACGCTGTGTAAAATGACACAGAGCACTCTGATTGGTGGATTTCAAGCCAACCAATCAGAGTGCTGTGACAGGTAAATGTAGAGACTTACCTGTCAGTCTCTTCATCTACCTGTCAGAGCACTCTGATTGGATGGCTTAAACACACCAATCAGAGTGCTCTGAGCCTAATTGCAGGGCGGGGCAAGGCTTTTTTAAAGTGCGTTGGTTATTATGGATTTTTATTTGGCCTTTTTTGGGGCTGAAAAAAGAAGAGTTTAGAAGAAAGAAGACATCAAATGGTAAGTCTATTTTTTTTTTTTTTTACAAGTATTTAGATAAGGGTCCCCCCCTCATTATTTTTAGGATGAGGGGGGTAGGGGGCTGGGGGGAGGACAGTAGGTCCCCCCATTTATTGTTATTTAGGGCCCCCACCGGACGCGCAGGGGTGGGGTCCGGGGGGGGGAGGACAGAAGGTCCCTCCCCACATTCTTATTTATGGCCCCCACCCACCGCTCAGGGGGGGAGGACAGTAGGTCCCCCACTCCACATTCTTATTTAGGGCCCCCACCCGTCGCACAGGGTCGTACAGGGATAGGGCAATAGGTTTTTTGTTTTTTTTTACAGTTATATATAGCGAGTAGGGGCTGAATTTACTAATACTAAGTAATCTTTACTTAGTATTAGTAAATTTGGCTGAAAGACCAATTTAGGTCTTTCAGCTTTTTGGTAGATAGCTCCCTAATACCGTGGGAATTAGGGAGTTATCTACTAAGCAGCTGCTTATTATATGTATTTTATGTTATTTTAAGTGATTTCCCTATCCACATGTTTGCAGGGCACTTGCCCTACTCTTACCCCCATTTTACTTCCTTTTACAGCCCTCTAGTCCTTTCTATGACTTTTTTAGAGGCATTTTTGTGCCCAAAAATTTGGGTCCCCATTGACTTCAATGGGGTTCGGGGTGAAATTCAGGGTCAAGTTCGAGCCCGAACCCGGGCTTTTCTTCAAAATTCGGCCGAACCCGCCGGACCCGAACATCCAGGTGTCAATTCTAGATATAAAATAAAATATGTGGAGGCAACTATGAACATTTTCGAGTTGCACGCCACGCCGATGAGGGAATGTCAGTATGAAACCTCACAGACTGCAAATTTGGAAGATTGGTGATTGTTCTGCTCCCACACATTTTGTGAGTATGAACTCGGTTCCTGAGGGAACTCTATTGTGGTGATGCCTTGGTGTCTAATAATGAACAACCTTTTCACCTGTTTCATCATTCTGTTAGGCTGCATATTTAAAGGACCACTCTAGGGACCCAGACCACTTCAGCTTAATGAAGTGGTCTGGGTGCCAGGTCCAGCTAGGTTTAACCCATTTTTTCATAAACATAAACTGCTATGTTTATGAATGGGTAAGGCCTTCCCATATTTCCTCTAGTGGCTGTCTCATTGTCATTTCACAGTGAGAGCACGCCAGCGTCCATAGGAAAGCATTATGAATGCTTTCCTATGTGACCGGCTGAATGCGCGCGCAGCTCTTGCCGCGCGTGCGCATTCAGCCCAGGAGGAGGAACGGAGGAGAGCTCTCCGCCCAGCGCTGGAAAAAGGTAAGTTTTTACCCCTTTCCCCCTTCCAGAGCCGGGCGGGAGGGGGTCCCTGAGGGTGGGGGCACCCTCAGGGCACTATAGTGCCAGGAAAACGAGTATGTTTTCCTGGCACTATAGTGGTCCTTTAATAACCAGTGGATGCCACATCATGTTATCATATCACAGAAGTCACAGTTTTAGAATGAGGCTATTGTAGTTACAGACAGTAACTCTGTCCACCAAAAAGATGCACCACAGTGTTTGCAATAAAGGATTTGTACAGCATCCAGAGCCACCCCTAACTCTACAGGGTTACCCAAAGAGAAGGACCAGAAGCTGTGGCCCAACTTTCTCTACCAAACGGTGGCTTAGATGACACGATATTTGATTATGTTGGCTACCTAAATAAATCAGTGTTTTCCTTGCTCATAAACACATTTGTGATTTCTAGAATCCTGATTGTGCATTTCTGAGTGTTCCTGATAGTCTTTTGGCTTTCACCCAGTCTTGTTTTCCCTAGTATCTAGGTAACTGCCTATTTACTATATCCTGCTTGCAGGCACTATTTGTTTCCAAGACAAATGGTTTTCTTTCCAGGTGTTTTATTAAGCCTCACAACTGTAAGAATCAATTATGCATCAGTGTCCCTATCTGTCTGTTCTATCTGCTCTTTTTCTGGTGTCCTCAAAACATGAGAACCCTAAAGCAGGATGGTAATAATGCAAACTGACAGATAAGCAATATTTGGTACAAGATTAAAAAAAATTTTCTTGTCATGCTGTGATATCAGCTGTGCTTAACATGACCCTTCTGATCTTTTATTTTCATGTATCAAGTTGCAATGTAGACCGCCTAACCATTTCTGATAAAATATGAAACATGGCAGCCCAAAGACTTTGGCTCAAAGTTCACTTTGTTCTGTTTTGATTTTTTTGTGAGTTCATTTAACAATGCGATTGATGAAAATTAAATTTATATTTATTGATAAGAAATCATGATTTATTTAACAATCTCTCATCCTCTTTATTACTTTTGTAACCTTCTTAAAGGAATTAAAGAAAATTAAATAATTAAGACTTCCTTTTTCAGACAAGCACCCTGTTGCTTCTTCGCATTGCATTTCGGATTATTTGCTTAATTTAAAATAATTAGCACTCCTTCGTCTTTTTTGATTTGCGATCTGCTATAAAATAGCACACATTTATACCTATGTAGCTTTGATGAATTATGCAAATAAAACTTTCAAAACACAGACTTCCCCTACTCAAGAACATCTGCAGATGTAGCAACATATTTATTATGTGCTTATCATTTTTGATAATGGAACCGATGACATGATAAGCGGTAAAAAAAATTACAAATAAGTTGAAGGTGTCTGCTATTAAAATGCAAAGCTAATGCTATATATCATCTGAAAGAGCATTTAATAGGGCAGTAATTGCAAACTAGATTAGGGGCTCTTGAATCCGTGAATGTAATGAAACTTGCCTGTTGGCTAATAATTGCATTTGTTCATGATACAATTCTTTTTTTTTTCTGCTTTCAGATAGGTTTCAGATTTCATTTTTTTGTACAGCTGTGAAACAGATCCGGGTTTAAAATATTGTCAGTAATAAATGTCAAATGCTAAATAGCAAATAAAAAAAAACATTAATTCTGCTATGCAATAAAAAAAAAGGAAAGAACAATATCATGTTATGTCTAAGAGATACTGGGCAGTAGCAAGATTTGATTATTCAAAGAAAAACAAATAAAAAAGCAAAGAAGAAAGATGAACTGCTCTATCTGATCTAAAAGAAAATGTGATTCATCAGACCAGACAACCTTCTTCCTTTCCTCCATGGTCCAATTCTAATACTCACATCCGAATTGAAGATGCTTATGTCAGTAGACCGGGGTCATCATAGGCACCCTGATCGGTCTGTGGCCATGTGGCCCCATCCGCAGCAAATTGCAATGCACAGTCTGTTCTGACACATTTCTATCATGGCTAGCATTATGGGGAGGAGAGGGGGGTTCAGCAATTTGAGCTACAGTAGTTCTTTTGTGTGATCAGACCAGACAGGCTATACTTCACTCTCAATGTGCATCAATGATCCTTGGACTCCTAAAACCCTGACAGCGGTTCACTTGTTGTCTTTCCTTGCACCACTTTTGGTAGATACTAACCACTGCATACTAGAATTTCACCTTAGGACTTGCAATTTTAGAGATGCACTGACCAATCGTCTATCTGACAATTGTCAAAGTCCCACAGATATTTTTGCTTGCCTAGATTTCCTGCTTCCAACACATGAAATTCAAGACAACTTGCTGCCCAAGTATTACACCAATTGGCAGGTGCCATTATAATGATTTCATCAATGTTATTTACTTAATCTGTCAGTGGTTTTATTGTGGTGGCTGATCAGAGTATGTGTGTGCATTTTTGGTCACTAGAAGAAGTGGTTTTCTACTGATCTGCACGTTTTTCTCTACATTATTCAAAATTAGTCTGGTCCTTTGACCTTAGTGAATCCTCTCACTAATACATGCTGGGAGAACTTGGTATTGACATTGATAGCTTTCTTTCATTCTCTTTTCTTTTCTTTTTGTTTTCTTTCCTTTCTCTTCTTTTTTTCTCCCAAAACATTGTTTTTTTTAAAAAAAAAAACACTCTTTTTGTTTTCAGCAACATGTGAACCTCAGAGGAATGGTCATGAAAAAAAATGGAGGGGAGGATGTGGTGCTGAATGACTATTGAGATAAGAAAAATGAAAATACAGTGTCACAAAAGATAAAGCTTGTGAAGGGTTTGAAGATGGAGCATCTGGTCAAAAGTGGCAATATTTGAAGAATAATTAAGATAGAATAGAAAGTAAGGAGCTTTGATTTAAACAGTGATTCCATCTGTAGTCACTATGGTTAGGACAATTTAGTGCACAACAGAGCAAATAATATATTGAAGAGAAAGAAGGTAGAGTTAGAAGAGAAAATATTAGTCAGGCAGGTATAAACAAGAAAATAAAAAGGTTTTAATCAAGGGGAGTAGGTATGTGGAGCTGGAAACAGGAAACAGGACAGGAACGAGACAGGAAAGTTGAGGAAAGGCTTTCAAGATTGAATGTGACAATTTTACATTTCAGGGAAATAAAGAAATCAAATGAAAGATCAAAATTGAACATGTGGTTTAATGCTGAATATAAATAAGTGAAAAGTGATTAAATTAAGTGCACATTTATGAGACTGAGGAAGCAGGTGGTGAGATAAGAGAATAGAAGAAAACCAGAAACCTTTTGTTCAATGATTATGGAGAATGAGTTTAGAGTAGACAATGACACAGGGTTGATGGCAATTTGAGCATGAAATGAAGTAAAAATTATGGATCAATTTTAGTCAGTAAAGTCGACAAAGTCTTTTGCTTTTTGTATGAAGGATTGGGTAGCAACAAAGAGAGTTAAAGGGTTCCATACTAGGTATTAAATGTCAATTTAAATACATTGAGAGAGCCCTTGATTTGTGTTGGGTGACTGTTCCAGACTTTCCAAAACTAATCTTTTTACATTTTTAATCTTAAAGCATTGTAGTAAGTTTAAACTCAGAGTTGAGATAACCTCAACGTGGTCACAAAATAACTACTTAAAAAAAAGGCCAAAAAAATGCTAAAAAAGTCTGTCTCGAATAAAAATAATTGCCATGGGTTAACATAATTATCACAAGCAGGAAAAATACAGTTTTTATACATGTGCTATAACTTTAAAAATATACATCCAATCTTCATAAAATTACATATTCAGAATCAGCACACTTTAAACATAAACACTCTCAAAAATCCGACAAATCCATCCAGTAGATAAAAAATTAGCAGGGAGCTAAGCACATTTTCCTGCCCAAAACAGTTCCATAGATTTGGGCTGTGTGGTCGGTCTATTTTACACAGAAAAATTACTACGTCCCATTCAAATGCATGAACGGGGCCATTCGTGCATTTAGCTTAGTATAGCAGTGAATTCAAAATGCCGAACGGGACTTAGTCTCTGCAGCTGAAAACTGAGTGTAGGAGAAGGTAAGGGTCAGCGGTGTTCGTTGAAATGTGTAGCCAATTTCAAAGGGGCATTGTTCGAATGAACAAAGATGGCCTGCCGCCACGTGTTTGTTTGTCGAATGGCGGCCACTTCGACTACTTCGGCACTTCGGCTGCATCCGAAGTGCCAATTTAAAGCTGCAGAACTGCTCCAATACAATTTAAAGGGGCAGCAAGTCTTTTAAAATCCAGCTGCTAAAATAGTCTTTAACAGGCAATATCTTCCAAGGGCCATAGTCTTAAAGGGGCATTGTTCCCAAAAGTCACAGTATGACCCCAGATGGTTCTTAAAGGGCCAGCAGCAGCATAATAAAATACAATATGCCCAAATACTGTATTTAAAGGGCCAAATCTCCCAGGGGCCATAGTCAGCAGGCAGGAGGCGGGTACACAGGCTTCTCCAATGCCCAGTGGCGAGGTTGGTTTCGCCACAGTATCAGTTAAGTTTAACAAGCTCATGGGTGGTCTCCGGTTCGTGCTGGACCATATAGTCCCAATTGCACGAACAGAGCCTGTTTAAAATATTTTAGTAAGGTTTATTGCAGGGGCCATAGTCACATGGTAGGAGGCTGGCCAATAGGCCCCTCCAAAAACCAGTGGCGACGTTACTTTTGCCACAGCCTGTAATAAAAGAGGGCCCACCCTGAGTATCATTGTTAGTAAATGGACTGGTGGGAGGGATAAATCGCCAGACCAATAACGGTAATGAGGAGAGGTCTGGCGATCCTTAAGTAGCAAAATCAAGCCCCTCCCGCAACTACACCCCCAGCCTTCTATTTGTGTTCAGGGCATAGAAGCCGTAATGACAGTATATAACTTATAGAATAAAACCAGATCGAAAATATGAACAGTTGGTTGTGGTGTGCCGAAACCGACGATGCGGTAGGTCTGTAATAAAAGAGTCCCAGTTGCATGAACAGAGCCTGTTTAAAATATTTTAGCAAGGTCTAGTGCACGGGCCATAGTCACAGGGTAGGAGGCTGGCCAATAGGCCCCTCCAAAAACCAATGGCGACGTTACTTTCGCCACAGCCTGTAATAAAAGAGGGCCCACTCTGAGTATTAAACAAGATTTA